AATACTAATTACAGTCATGCATTATGATTAGCATAAAACTGACCAATCAAAATTGATTTTTGTCTCCTAGTGTTTATCTTATAGTGTTTATCTTATAAGGTTTATTTCATAATGTTTATTTACCCATTCTATATTATATATAGATATAAAAATTACTATAAATATATATACTTTATTAATTATTATAAATCATTTTAAATAGATTTATAAAATAATTTAAAAATATATATTATCAAAATTAATAAATTTTCAAAAGTTTTACTTTGAATTTTTATTAAGTACTCAAATTTGATTAGTTAGTAAAAATCAAATTTTACAAATAAATTCCTTATTATAATTAAAATTGCATGTTGAGTTCTTTTAATTTCAATTTTTTTAATAATTGCTAAATGCAATAGATCTAATTTTGAGTTTATTTATAATAAGAATCATGTATACTTAAATAATAATCAAGTTAAAAAACTCATAAATACCTATTAAAATTTAAGAATTCAAAAAAAAATTAGTAATAATCAATGATTTGAAAAAAATAAATGAAAATTTAATAAAGCATAATATATAATTTTTTTTAAAAAAAATATTATCAAATAATTGTTTTTTTAAAAAAATTCTTTATATTACAAGCTTGCAGAATTTTTTTTGCAAAAATAATTTAATTTAATGCTAAAGTATAATATTAATAAATTTCATATTTGAAGTTTTTTTTTGCATTTAATAAATAATTTTGTTTTCTAAATTGGCTATTTAATTTTTTTTAAAAAAAGCAATCGTCTTACTAAATTAACCAATCATATACGGTAGTTCAATTCAAGCCATCAACCGCACAATCACCAATGTTTTAAAACAAAAAAAACATTAAAAAACATTAAAAACCGTTTTTTTGCCATCCCTAAAAAATATTGACTTAAAGTTTTAAAAACCTCTAAATTTTAAAAGAATCTTTATGGTCGATCATCCTTCCGACATATTTTGACCCGGAAATTTGGGATTCCCTGAAATTAACAAGCACGTAAGTATGAATGGTAAAGGTTATAACTGAGTATAAAGTGTATAGTATACAAAAGTATCAAAATTTATGCAATCGTAATGTTGGAGAAAACTAGACTTCGGGCTTTAAAACTTTCAATGTTAAAAATTCGCACAAAATTAACGATAGGCTGTGCAAAATGCACAAAATAAAATAAAATTTATGTAAAAAAATTTTTTTGCACATATTTGTGCGAAATTTTTAACACTATTTACATATAATCGCAAGAATCGAATAATTGTATGTATGCTGTGAGCTAAATGTAAAATATTTCTAGGTTACACATATGTTAGCGTGACTATAGTGGATAATTTTTATAAGACTATTATAAGTATCGTGTATAGAAGCTATTATGATAGTGATTATTACGAAATCTAATATTATATGTGATTATTGTGAGTAAAAATTGTTAGTAAAATTTTGAAGAAATAAATTTATGTGATTATAGCGCGATTGTGACAAATGCGGAAGTGACTATTGCGGGGTTCTACTGTATTTTGAAATTAACTCACGTGGAAGATGGAGAAGCCGGAGGTAAGGGGGTCACATTTCCTGTGTTGGAAACTGATGAAGTACTGTTCTCACGGGAATGATGTGGATGGTAAGTTTGTTGATTACGTAGTGAATCTAGTTGTTTCTGAAGGCGATTCACAATATACTCTTGCTCTTGCTCAAGTGCATTTTCCATATCAATTTTTTCTTTTTGTAACTACGTTTTAACACAAGGAATTTGCTTATTAATTCCTCAAATCTCATTTAGTAAACGATAAAACAAGCAAGCAAAAAAAGGTTACTTGATTTAATTTCTTTTGCAATGTATTAGTTAAATATTCTTCTTCCTGTTCAACTTGTAGAAGCAATTCGCCCTTCTCTTTTTTGAGACCGGAAATCCGCTTTAATAGTTTGTTCGAAATATATTCCTCCTCTTGCTCCGCTGATACGTGCTTTGAAAGTGACGAATAATGAACAGATTAAGATAATGAGAGTAAAAATAATAATAATAATAATAATAATAATAATAATAATAATAATAATAATGATAAAAATAATAAATAAAAATAAAAAAATAAAAATAAAATAAAAAAAGGTATAAATATATAGATTAATTAACGGACAAGACTGGATGAATAAAGGTATAACAAATACGCCATACAAATCTTATTACTTATCACATACCATATCGACAGTCATCTGTCTCAACATTTGGTTGTCATGTCTCAATATATTAACATGTCCTTGCTCCATTTCGAGCTCAAACTTTAACTTTTTGATGTCTAACTCTTGCTGTCGAATGCGTTCATACGCATTTTGAAGTTCTTGCCTCAGAACTATTGGATCTTGCGAATTTAGTGTTAATTGTTGTAAATCGGCAGGCGAGGATGATACTCCCGAACTAGTATCCCTGCAATGGATAACTAAAAGGTTATTGAATAATATTACCTTCAGCATAATAACAAATATTTCGCATATAAAAAATATCTAACTGTATTGCTCATAAAATACATCCCAATCTCATAAAAATACATCCCAATAAATTACTCAATCAATATAGAGAAATGAATCTCTTATCATACAAGAATTGAGTTAATACATTAATTGTAAAAAAAAAAAAAAAATCGATCTGTTACTGACCCTTGATTAATTTGCAATTTTGAAAGAGTATTCTGAAACGATTTAGCACGTGTCTCCATAGATGCCTCTAAATTAACCTTTTCTTGTCTAGCCTTTGTTTATAAATGAGTAAATGAGTGTCGCCAAGGGAAAACTCGCAAAATCTGAATATTGTGCAACAAAATGCGGGTTTTCAAAATTATTTATAGAATTCATGTGATTAGCATAAATGTTCTAATAGATTATTCTAGTCGTTCCAGTAAGTCGATCATTTGCTGATTGTGTAACTGATAAAATAAGATAATCGGTCTTTTCATCCTGACTAGTTTTTGTAGATCATTTGTGACTTTGCAAAATTTAGAAGTGATCTGCAATATACTAAGAGATGGATTTACTTATTTCTGCAAGTGATACAAGGTTAAAGGTTCTATTAGAACATAAAATACGATTTTCTAGGCAAAATTTTGAGTTACCGACGATGTTTTGAAAAATCCTTCGCCCTCACATTACACAAAGATTACACTTGATCTTGCGATCTACATAGAAAATTTTTTTTTTGGGCTTGTATCGCTTGCAGAAATAAGTATACATCTAAAAGATTATTCTAAAACCAATTTCTAATATGAAAAAACTTTTGTACTATAGAATTAAAAAAGAATTTTCCAATTGAAGATCTTTTATCAAAAAGAGAAATGATCTGCGTTACACGAATTTGAAAAGTTAAATATGTATTAATTAAATTTAATAAAAAAAATAATATCTTTTAAGCTTAACAATCTCTTATATAATAACCTTTATTAATTGAATCACTTACTAGTACATGATTTACTTAACACCAAAAAAAAAAAAAAAAAAACTAGTACATGATTTAATAACAAGACAAAATAAATAATGAACAATATAAATTAATTGAAAATATCAATAAGTGTAATACACACTTATTGAAGATATAGGCAGTATAAAAAACCAAACACTAATACAGGTTTTATGCTTAATATGTTGTCAAATAATTCTATATTCAAAAAAATTAATTGTAAGTAGGATTTTATAAGATCATGTGTAATGTGAATCAAACAACAATAATAATGCATTAGATTGAAGTTAGACATGGTTTTAGTAAAATGTTTCTACTCTAAAATTCACATTACACCCGATTTTGCATTCTAATTGGTCGATTAGGTTCAAATCCGACGTGTTAGATCGACACAGTGCACACAGTTGATGTTAAATAATTAACTACCGTATACGACGGGCCAAACCACCCCCCTGTCGGATTATGCGGATATTTTTATGGTGCATATCAGATCACAGAACAATTGGTACTTATACAAAAATAAACCGATAATTATTTTATGACAGGGGGGTGGTTTGGCCCGTCGTATACGGTACATCGTAAGTGTCCATAAAAAATTTACGCGTTCATGTGACTATCACGTGAAAGATGCAATATAGATTATCATTATTTTTTTTGAACTGGAATGAGTGAATATTGCAATATGGAAACTACGTCAACGAAGAAAATGTCAAGCAAAAAAAAGAAAAGATTCGAAAAATATATGGTTGGCGCAATAATGTATTCTTTGGGGTGTTTTCTGGAGAAGGTTCAGCCATATATCTAACAACTCATATGAAATAGCAAAAGAAAATTAAAAAAGAAGAACGAGTTGTTCTATTTGAAAAGCTTTCGAAATCATCATTTTCATCTGAATTAATGAAATCAAGTAGAAATTTGGGAAGAGGGGTAAGGATAATATAAATATTTTAATTTCCATTATTATTGAGAGAAGATAATATGTACAAATACTTATTACTTATATGTGTGAATTTAACAGAAAAACACAATGAAAGAACGGCTTCGCAGAGCCTTTCATGAAAGACGTCGTGGAATGACTCAATCTGATCCGGATGTTCCTTTATTCGTGAATAGTGAAGACAGCGTAGATGATGTACTAAATAATCACATGAACACAGATATCAGTACGTCTAATTTATCAGTCCCTGTTAAAAGAAGCCAAGAAATTCAGCCTGCGAGAATAGAGTTACCGGTGTGTGAAGAAGAGCAAGCAATAATGGAAACAATTAATCAGAATTTTGTTAAGACTTTTAATGTTCCTGTTAAAAGAAGCCAAGAAATTCA